AAATCCTAACTCTTAAAAAACAAATATTAAGGCAGCATATTACATTATTTGAATGTCCCATAAGTTTTAAGCAGCATTCCGACAACAACATAATAGAAATATTTAGAGAAGAATATGAATATTAGTGATAAAGAGTTGTGCAAATTGCAATACATTATATATCAACCTAAAAGAAAATAGAAAACGCACGAATCACTTTGATTTAGCCTTCATTTGGTTTCATTGATCCGAAAACTCTACAAAAAAAAATAATGATTCAATTAACAGTAAAATTGATAAAAACAAATAAACTTAACATAATTCATGGAATAGCTTATTTGCTATATCGCCGTCCTCCAATTTGTTATTTTCCTCCATATAGAATATCTCCAAGTTGGGAGACCATTTATGCCAATTTTGATTGCACACCACTACATTAAAAACTATGGAAGGGATCGAGAATTTTTCTTCCAACACTAAAAACATTTTTTGAACCCACGTTGACGCTTGAATTGCGATAACATTCCATGCAAGTTTGGACAAAGTATCATACTTATGTCCATTAACCCCCATTCAATTGAGAACATCAAATCATTGTTTTCTATATCTTCACAAGCGTCTGACAAATATCTATCCGCATCATTTTTCATCCAATTTTTCCTCAAAACTTATTAGAGAGTTTGATACCATACCAAGTCCAAACTTTGATGGGATAGTCTTGAATTTGTCCTCGCATATCACCAACCTAACAAGGTAATTATAACGCTCCTAAATTTCAATGGCATGATGCTTTGAAATATTGTAGATTAACACATGCAATGAGTTCTATTGCTACCAATTCATTCCAAATTCTAACATAAATGCCTTTCGAGTGATTATATAATAGAAATTTGAACTATTTCCATTCATCTGTCCCCACATGCACCAAAAGAAATAGTTTGAAGACCTAAATGTAACAGAAAAATGAAAGGGGACCCAAGTGAGACAACTGGTAATGTTAGGGAACCATGGACTATAATTTTCCTTAAAAAGAGAATTATGTTGTAAACAAGATTCTACAATGAAACTCTGAAAGTAGAAGCAATAGCTGTAACAAACTTGATTTTACTTAAAAACAAATTTCTAGTTTGCTTCTCCATACACAAACTCTTTTATACCGAAAAATGACATTTTTTTTTTTTTTTATAACACGATGCTTAATCTTATTAAACACGAACTAAACGTATAGTAAAATCTATTGTAAACAAAACATACTTTCTTGACTGTACCTACAATTTCAAAATATAATTAAAAACTCAACAAAGACTCTTCGAGTCTTTAACAAAGGTACATGACAGTAAGAAACATTCAATTAGGATGTATGCCCAAGTTTTGCAACAAATCAATTTCGTAAGCATCATCTTCAATTTTCTTTTCAGAGCTTAGAATATGTTGGAAACTGTTCTTTACGTTGATAAGTCAATCACCATGTTACCCTCTTTGAAGCTTTGAGTTATCCATCGTTTATCTACATGTTCTTTGTCCTGGAGTTTGATTGTTCAGTCTTTTATGTAATGTGGTCAAGCAGCATCATTTTTGCCGCCATATTCTTCTTTTACACTAGTCTTATCACATTTTGGTATTGAATTTTATCATAAATAAAAATGGACTGATTTTTTCCCATAGACCATCTCAAACGGGCTCTTTCTACTAGTTCAATTTTTGGTGCTGGAAAATCAGTGGCAAAGCAGTTTTGACCCAAATTTAGAGACGGAATTTCTTGCGACAAAGGTTGAGCTATAGCTTTGGGAGAAAAGGGAAGAAACCAGATTAGCACAAAAAGCAAAGAAAAAATGGCTTGAAGAAGGAGACCAAAACTCGAATTTTTTTCATGCTGTGGTTAATCAACGGAGGAAGTCTTCACATATCTCTTCTATGCAATTGCCTGATGGGACAGTGCTAGCTTCGCCAGAAGAGGTTCACAATGGTGCCGTTAAATACTTTGAAGAAATTTTGCATGATAATCGAACAAGTGAGCAACAAGATTTGACTCCCCTAATTTCTGCAGTTGTATCAGTAGAGGATAATGACCTTCTATGCGTGGAACCAACCGAAGAAGAGGTAAAGGATGCAATTTTTTCTATTCCAGCAGAGAGCAGCCCCGGGCCTGAAGGTTTTGGGTCTGGGTTTTACATCTTGTGTTGGGAATTGGTGAAGGACGACATAGTGGAGGCAGTGAGAGAATTTTTCATGGGTAGCTCACTACCCAGATTTTACACCTCTTTATTCATTGTCTTAATTCCGAAAGTAGACCAACCTAGGAGTTTTGAAAAGTTTAGGCCTATTAGCCATTGCTCGGTCATTTACAAAGCTTTTTCAAAGATCCTTGTCAAGCGTATGACATGACTGCTCCCAAACCTGAACAGGGAGCATTTATTCCAAATAGAAACATTTTTGAGAACATCACCCTTACCCAGGAAATGATCCACTCTTTGAACAGGAAAACCAGAGGTGGTAATGCTATGTTAAAAATCGACATGGCAAAGGCTTATGATAGAGTAGACCGGAGGTTTTTCCTACATGTGCTTGAAGAATTTGGCTTCTCTAAAAGGTTTTACGACTTGGTGGCAGAGTGTGTTACAACTCCTTAGTTTTCAATAATGATGAATGGGACTCATAAAGGTTTCTTCCAACCTAGCAGAGGCCTCCGTCAAGGCGATCCTTTGTCTCCTAATTTGTTCAACATTATGGAAGAGATTTTATCACGTCTTTTACGCAAGAGGTTTGAAGAAGGCAGTATTGTGAGGTTCTATCATCCTATTGGGGCCCCTTTGGTCTCACATCTATTATATGCCAATGATGTAGTAGTATTTGCGAATGGAGGTAGAAGATCTATAAAAATGCTCATGAAGACCCTGAAAACATATGAAAAGTGATCGGGACAAGTGATAAATCAACTATTTTCTTCTCTAGAAGGATCATCTATAGAAGGAAGAGGAGCTTGCTACGGTTAACTGATTTTACTTGAGGGACAGTTCCCAGTGGTTGACTTAGGAGTGCCTATTACTTCTGGCTGTCTCACGGCTAGGCATTTGAAGACTTCAGTAGCGAAAATTTGCAACAAAATAACAGGTTGGAAAATGAGATTACTGTCTCAATGAGGTCGCCTTATTTTAATCCGACATGTTGTGACCCGTATGGCAACACATTTGTTGGCTATGGTTAATGTGCCAAAGATAACTCTCAATAACACGAACTCATTATCTACATTCCTCTAGGTGAGAGTAATGGAAAACACATAAAGAAATGGCGTGCTTGGTCTGAAGTATGGATGCCAACTATAGAAGGTGGACTTGGGGTACGTGATTTTGCTGCAATTCAACGATCTCTCCATATGAAACTTGCATGGTGGCTAATGACTACTAATAGCTTGTGGTCTAGCTTCTTCTGTTCCAAATATGTAAAGAGCAGTCATCTTTTACTAAACTCTAATATCAGTGGATCTAGCCTATGGAAATCAATCGTAAAGGTTCTACCTCAGGTATATGAGAACTCAAAATGGAGGATTAAAGAAGGTCAGTTTCCTTTTGGTATGATAGCTGGTTAGCGAGTGGCCCATTAAGCGAGCATGTTTTCAGGGTTACCAATCCAAGACTGCAGGTTAGAGATTGCTGGATTGAAGATGGCTACGATTTCACTTATCTTAAAGAGGTAGCTAGGGAGGTAAAGGCAGTAGAAATTACACAAACCATTAGGGCCAGAAAAGAAGTGATATGATCATATGGAAGCCGAACGATGATGGAGATTTCTCTACTTCAAGTGCCTGGGACATTGTAAGGGTGAGGAGTCCACAGATTCCTTGGATGAAATGGATATGGCATAAAATTCTACCAAAAAAAATTTTTTTTTTCATGTGGCAGGCGAAGTTCAACTGTTTAAGTGTGGTTATTAGGGTGAGATCAACAAGAGTTGCTCTAGCTTCACGTTGTGATTGTTGTGAGAAGGGTCAAGTGGAAACTCTAGATCATGTACTCAACTCTAGGGATATTGCTAAGGCAGTTTGGAAGTGGGCATCGTTGGCCTTGGGTGTGCACTACATGGAGACACAATCCTAGTGGACGAGAGTCAATAGATGGTTTACATGTGCAAAATATGTCTCACGGCATGGAATTTTAATTGGGCTATTATGGAAACTATGGGGACGTCGATGCAAGGCACGTATGGAAAGGATTCGAGAATCTGTGGAGGAGGTTTGGCTTACAATAAAGGTTTCGCTGCGTCTCCTAGCTGAAAAAACAGGTAAAGTCTCAAAACTAAGTAAAATAGATCATGAACTTCTCAAATCCTTAGAATTGCCTGTGTGTTCGAAGACGAGTAAACCAACCCTCATAGTTTCTTGGAGGAGACTTGCTACTGGTTGGATAAAACTCAATGTTGATGGAAATTGTCTTGGTAATACAGGACTTTGTGGAGGTGGGGGAGTAATCAGGGATCATTATGGTAATTTGGTTGCTGGCTTCTATGCTCCATATGGCTATGGTAGAAATAATGAAATGGAATTGCGTGCTGTCATGACTAGGGTAGAGCCATGCAAAGAGATGGGTTTCCAGCATGTGGAAATTGAGTGTGATTCGACTGTTGTAGTAAACTGGTTAACAACCCACTCATGCGGAGTTTGGTATTTGTGGGATTATCGGGATGGGTTATTAAAATTACTAGGCGGAATCAGCTTTACTATTTCCGATCAGTATAGAGAAGCTAATAGAACCGCAGACTTTCTAGCCAGACAAGGGGCGAATGGTTTCACGATGAGGTACATGCATTTATATCAAATACCACATCTGTTAAAGAGGTGTTATTCGTATGGATAAACTTGGTCTGACGTGTTAACAATATGGGTTCGATTAGAGCTATATGGCTGCTTGGTTCTTATATTTGTTCTCTGTTTTGGATTTACTCCAACCAGACATCATATAAGGTTTTCCAAATTCCTATTAACAACTCCTATCAGTTTTCCAAATATAAAGCATTAACATGTAGAATCAGAACAACAAAGAGGAAATCATTCCATTCAACTGATAAAGGGGATCAAACTCAGTTCAACAGAGGAGAGTGGTAGATTATAACCTCAATCCACCATGGCTCCTTGTTTTATTCATCACACGTAATCAAACGACAGACTGAAACGAGTTAGGAAATTCACACACGGATTAATTTCCCAACAACTCCATACGAAATTAAAGCAAAGGCTAAAACAAGATATGAAATTCACCACATTTTGGTCGAAGCTTAATCACCCAACAATTGGTGCACATACACGCCACTCTTCCTTAGGCTTTTGAAAAGACGCGTACAGTCTCCACATGTAGTTGTTTTACAATCTTCTTCATTTGAACACCTAAGGAAGAGTTCATCAACATGGCATATTGCTCCGGTTTTAAATAATTCAACAAGAATATTGAGCTCTACCGGCTTGGTGTTCATCACGAGTACCACGAAATCTCCATCAGCAACTGTTTCATTGAACCAGTGAATAAAGTCAAACTCGCCTTCATCTGGTGGTGCACTAAAATATTCATCAGAGTTGATTTCACGAGCAGCATTCTCTCCGGAAAGGCTGGGATGATAAATAAAATGGATACCGGGACCTGTCACATATGAAGAGAGGACAGATGTTCTATGATCAATAACAAAAACATTGAAGCATGCATGGTGATTAGAACAATAGTTCTTGGACATTTTTGCGACACTTTCTTTTGCAAACTCCCCTGCACCAATGTTAATGTACACTAATTTGTTCCTTGAGGAAATGTTCCTGAAGTTAGCCAGATATGCAGGCTCCAGCTCAAATTGCCCTGACTTTCCATCCACAAGAGGCTCCATAAACTTCATAAACGCTATATTTTTCGTAACTGACGGGCACTTATCTGGAAGCTGGAAATGCTCAAAGGCAGAAAAATTTTCATATCTCTTCTTAAACACCACCAGCGTAGAGGATCCAACACCGCATACATAAATAACATCAGAACTCTTCAAGAATGATACGACCGGTGTGGCCAACCTTACCAAGCTACCGGAGTGGAAATTACGTCCTCCCACAAGAATAGCACCAATTCCACCAGGACGTAAAACACGCTCAATCTCAAGAACAAGAAGAGATGGTACAGAAACCCTGTCAAGATCTCTCGAGAACACAAAATCAAAATGATTATTCTCAAAGTTGAGCTCATAAACGAATCTTCTCTGCACAAGGGAGAAGAATGGGTGTCTATCTACACCAAAGGCATTGGACAATCCTAACTCCCGCAACGTCAATACTGTGGAGGCAGATCTCTCCCCAACACATAATGCTTTAGCATTAGAATCTAAAAGATTCTTCTCCATTAGCTCTTTGAACACATTCTTTGTGAAGTTTTGACTTTCTATGCACGGCATAGGAGTTGTCCCAAATAGGGAAGACATAAAACCAGGTGCCGATGTGGGCTTCAGATGCCCGGTGAAATTTAAATCCTGGTTCGAGCCAAAACTCAATGGGCACACATCAATATTCGATACCATTCGCCCAATTATGCCCGCCTCATGGGTCATTTGCATAAACGACAGAATAGTCGTAGCCAGTACAAACATAAAAGCTCTCAGTACCACACGCATGACGAATGACCCACGAATAATTCGCCATTTCAACAAGTTCAAATCCATTTTTTACACTTAAATTCTCTTTTTAAAACCCAAATCCAGATCTTTTAAGCAATTCAAAGTGCCAGATCTATAATTGCACCGTGATTCACTCAAAGCAAAACACAAGTAGATTATATCAAATCAGAAAAAAGCCAAACAACGAAGAAAACGAACTATTTAGCGTGTGCAAAACCTGGAGGATGTGTGATTCCCACCCACGAGTAAACCCATTGACATTTGGTACCCAAGCCAAACCCTTTTCGGAATCCTCCTCGCCATCGGCTCAAACCACTTGTATCCCATCTTGAATTACTTCATACCTCAATTAAATTAGAAACCAACTTACATTGTCAGTAAACTTGCTTTATCTTAACTCAAATGAATTGTATTGTATGTATGCGTATTGGGGTTAGGGTTTGAATAATGTAGCAGGAGATGCAAGTCTTGAAGGTTTGGAAGTGAAGTGACTAGAGGTTCTTGAGGAGATAAAAAGCAAGGGTGTCGTACGAAGGTTCTGTGTGTGTCGGTTATATGCCACGTGTCACACAATTAAATAATTCATTGAATCCATCGTAGTTATGGGCAATTAGCTTATGGTTCGTCATTTTCAAATTGGCGCAATCGAATCATTCAACTTTGATTTATTTATAAATTTGATCGTTTTACGAACTGTTGCGTAAATTTAACTATTGATATATGTTGATCTAGACATTAAAATTAGTATATAATTGCCATATATGTCAACAATCATACAATAATGCATGTCACTCATCTTAAAATATTCTTTTATAAAAATAAAAAAAAAATATATATATATATACACGTTTTTACAGTCAGCTATTTGTATGTCAAGGTCAGCATGTTTCTTAATTATAACTTAGAAAAATGAACATGGTAATCAGAGGTGAAAGTAAATCGAGGTCGGATGAATTGATTGTTCCAAACTCAAGATGAGTTACTTGATCTGTAAACAAATCGACATTGGTTGACATGATTGCATTTAGTTGAAGATAGGTGGTCTAGATGCACATTTGCTCGGAATTAGGTATCTCACATTGCATTTTACCCATTATTTAATTATTTATTATAGTGTAGAATTATTATTTTGATCTGATGTATGATTGCGATGAGTGATTATCTCGACTTGCGTTGCATAATTCAGAAATTTATAAAATTTAGGATATTTATTAATGCTGAGGCGTGATGATGAATAGAAATGACAATAAACGAATTTTTTTACAATTCTTTTCAAAAATGAACGAATATAAATACCAATTTTTAAAGATTGATGATGAAAGTGCAATACTGAATAAAGATTGAAAACTTGCTGCTATTTTAGTGCTGTACAGAATTGCGTGCCATATATGTAACCGGTATCCAAAAATAATTCAGAAGAGACGCACAAGTTGGTCCCACTTAGCTGGCAAATATTAATAGCCACGTGCAGTCCCACGTCTTGATGATCCGAGTAAATCAGTGGACTGTCGTTCTTTCCCACTTGTATAAAATTCTTGTGAGCTCAGCCCAATTGTTATAGGGTCTTTCTGCCCTCCACCGACTACTCACGTACATACATACAAGGGAATGGTGCATTTTGGGGGTTATAATTTTAATCAAGTCGGGCCCACCTCATGTGAGTGACCTATACAAAATTTGATAAAATGATCCTGGTAGAATAGTTTTATCCACTGTTTTAAGCACAATCAAATCTTCCGCCACATATCAATTGGTGACTGGTGCTTGACCTTCCGGCGATTCGGCCATTTGCCTCAAAGTCTTAAAAATGCTAGAATCTCCCCAGTGGCTGTCCAACGAATGTAGATCTGGACCTTAGTGAGATAGAATGGGCAGGCGAGGAGGTGAAATGAGAAGAATTCGGTAGCTAATTAATAAAATGATTTGACATCTATTAAGTTTTATTATGTTCATTATAAAGTGAAATTGGAAAATAAAAAAATGTATATGGTCAAAAGTGAGAAAAAAAGTTAAACTACGTAATATTTGATTATGTGAATGTGTGATTGAAAAT